GAATATAATATGTAGCTTAAGAGGGTTTTAAGTTTGAATTGAATAAAGAGTTGCTAAACTAACATCACTGAGTGAAGTCATTTTTGACAGTTATTAGCAAACAAAAGAAAAAAACAAAAAACTCGCGTGTCATTCGCCAGTTATCATCACAATGTATGTGCTGAAGAATGTTCTTTCGAATTATTATAAACTTTCCGTAATAAATTTGACGCCTTTATTCTTTAAAAATGTTGGGAACCTCGAAATGGATCGCACTTTAGTACTTGAACGGGATTATTTTAAGTGTTATTCCCTTTTAAGCACTAGAAAAAAGCTACATAGTTGGTTGTGGCACTTAACGGAGATTGACTATATATTGCAATGTATTAAAATTTCCTCCAATCAGTGAGGTAAATAAACGGCAGAATATTACATCTGCTATGATACATTTGATTTTAGTTAATATTTTTTCAATATTATATGTGTAGCGATGATATCAACCTGCTGCTATAAGTCATCATATAAGTACATCTCAGACAGTGTGAAAATAGGTACCAAAACACAACTAACCCAATATGTGGAATGCTGTGTATGTAAAATCGGTATAATACAAGTGTATCTAAGTGGTATCTTTAATAATATGTCGTAATTCCAAAAATGGATAAAATATGGTTTAAACCTTCCATAGTTCCCAAATACCGAATATAAGAATTCCAATCTTTCGATCTCTTTGTACCTTAGTGCTCAATATGTACGATATTTTAGAAAAATTAAGTAAATTAATGCCTTGATTGTATGAAATCGAAAACTCTACGAATTACCCAGGGACCCTTACACTGCATTTTTTATTGTACGTTTATAGAATTGTTTATTGTACGTTTAAAAAATTGTGTGGAATCATGTTTATATCAGTCACAAATCTTAAATATAATGAATTTTCATAACATCGACTTTTGTTTACGCTTACTTATGGTAAAAAGCCTCTGAACCTTTTCCATTTGCTTCCAGCAGGTGGATTTCCGTACGCCTGTCCACCATACTGCTGCACCGTAGTGCAGATGGAAAATACACGAAAACATTTGGGGAAAAAGACTTCTCCAAATGAAGTTCTACCAAATTGATGACCAGTGACAGTATATTTTAATTGAAAAAACTAATTTTGCGATTTTTAATAATTTAAGAAACTGCAGGTCAATGCGTCTATTAAATTTATAACTACAGAAAACGCTCATTGAAATCTGTTACCTACCTATTTCTAGTGAGGAAGGACCGAAATAACACTAACTAACCGCTAAAAAAAGATGCAAAAAACAGTGCCGGATAACATTAGAAACCTTGATCATAGCATTCATTAACTCTGTCCGAAGACGAGGTTGTTCACATTATGTGAGTTTTTAAACATATGTATGCGATGTTTATGTTCCCAGCTTGTAGAAATAATACCATAAGTTATGCGGTGTGGTCTCCACTTGAGCTTTTAGATTAGAGCAGCTGATATATACGCGGCGCAACTAAAAAAAAGGTAATAATTAGAAATGTTTTTCGATACAAATATTAGTAGAGTAGGAAAAAGTGATAAAACGGAATGAAGATCTCACCAACAAAATAAAAACTTATTTCTGTAAATATTATATATGCAGTGTGCCTTCTATGGAACTAATGTATTTTGAACCGTTAGGAGAGTGTCGAATTCACTTAAAAACCAAAGGAGTGTGGCGATGAAAGTGAAAATGTTTAGAGTTGAAGGCATTAATGCAATCACTACGCTTTTGCGTATTAAAATCGTGAAAATAAAGGAAATGATAATATAATAATAATAATACAAATTTGTATCCCTCTGTGAATTGAATTATTTGTTCAACCTCAGTTATACTATCACTCACTTTATCTTAGCCTTCAATCTCACAATTAATAAATGTAACGATTCTAATATTTCAATGCTTCTAGTAAAAACTGCATCGATCGAAGTACCATATCGTTTGTTTAGTATACTTCTATCATTTTTATTTCAAAAATAATTTCTTCTGTCAAGTATTAAATATAAATTGAAGCTTTTACAAGTTTGCAGCTGAACAAAAATCTTCTACATCAGATGCGGAACCAGTTGTTATTTATGTTATGTATTGAAAATATATTTTAAATAAAAGACTTTAGACGATTGATGAAAATTTTCACTTTAAGAAAGTTACATTAACATATGTTTACTCAAATTACCACTTGCACGGACGGACACACAACCAGAATCAATTAATCAATCTAGGCGGACGGGAGTATAATTGAAAGGCAAACAGTTTTAATTATTAGCGCAAGTTATGATCG